AAAGACTAACAAAGAATGCTACAGACAAGCTTTGGTTATCGTCCATCTATTAGTTCTGTAGAAATAGACGTTTAAAGGTATTTCTATTTTTTAGCTATAGCTGCCCCTAAAAGGGGCCAATCACAATAATATGATCAAACTTGATATAAGACTATCCAAGAATGCTAAAAACAAAGTTTGGTGACCATCTATCGATTAGTTCTGTAGAAGAAAACGTTTAAAGTGTTTTCTATTTTTAGCCCTAGAGACCCCTAAAAGAGGCCAATCATTTTAATATGAGCAAATGTCATTAAAGACTACCCAAAAATGCTACAGACAAAGTTTGGTGATCATCCATCAATTAGTTCTCTAGATATAGATGTTTAAAGGTATTTCTATTTTTAGCTTCAGTGGCCCATAAAAGAGGCCAATCAAATTAATATGAGCAAACTTGATAAAAGACTTACCAAGAATGATACAGACAAAGTTTGGTGATCATCCATCCATTAGTTCTGTAGAAGATGACGTTTAAAGGTGTTTCTATTTTTAGCCCTAGAGGTGATCATCCATCAATTAGTTCTCTAGATATAGTTGTTTAAAGGTATTTCTATTTTTAGCTTTAGCGGCCCCTAAAAGGGACCAATCAAATTAATATGAGCAAAATTGATAAAATACCACCTAAGAATGCTACAGACAAAGTTTAGTGATCATCCATCCATGTAGTTCTGTAGAAGAGGATGTCTAAAGGTTTTTCTGTTTTTTGCCCTAGAGACCCCTAAAAGGGGCCAATCAAATTAATATGAGCAAAATTGATAAAATACCACCCAAGAATGCTACAGACAAAGTTTAGTGATCATCCATCCATGTAGTTCTGTAGAAGAGGATGTCTAAAGGTTTTTCTGTTTTTTGCCCTAGAGACCCCTAAAAGGGGCCAATCAAATTAATATGAGCAATTTTGATAAAAGACTAACCAAGAATGCTACAAACGAAGTTTGGTGATCATCCAGCAATTCATTCTCTAGATATAGATGTTTAAAGGTATTTATATTTTAAGCTCTAGAGACCCCTTAAAGGGGATCAATTGAAATGACATGAGCAAATTCAAGTGTGACTGTCACAAGGATGCTACATACCAAGTTTGAAGTAAATCTGCCCAGCAGTTTCAGAGAAGAAGACGATTGTTGACGCATGACGACGGACGACGGACGCCGGAGTATTCCCCTTTGATAATACTACTACTACTGATACTGCTACTGCTACTGCTACTGCTACTGCTACTGCTACTGCTACTGCTACTGCTACTACTACTACTACTACTACTACTACTACTACTACTACTACTACTACTACTACTACTACTACTACTACTACTACTACTACTAACAACAACAGCAACAACAACAGCAATAATAGTACTAATGTTATTATAAATGCTCAGTTATAATTATGCAACGATATGTAGACTATTGATACGTTTCGTTCCCCATTTTCCTCAAAATGTTCCTATATGTAGTTCTTAAGGGTGTAACATACAATTTATACATATATCGGTTTCCTTTCAACATTTTTTTAAACATAATTTGTTACTTTTATAAATCAATTTTTATACATTATAAATAAGTTTAAAAATAATACACATATTTTTTATTGAAACATTATCCAAAACATTTATCAGAAATATATTTCTAAAAACACATTTATGTACATGAATTGTTAAATTCGGCTTTTTCTTTCTAAGGAATGCGTTTTGTAACTTAAGATTTTGATAACAACATATTTATCATATAAGACCATATTTTTAGGTACATGGACTTTGATTGTAAGTCATAAATCGCTAAATAGAACCAATTTGAAATGGAATGGTTATATTTAATACATGTTAGGGACTGACTAAAAATAATTCACGGATAATGATAACGAATTGACCTTTATCAAACAACTCTTATAAGTAAAATGTCTCAGATATACGGAAAATTCTATGCGTGAAGAAAAATAATGAAACACATGCTGTCCTTTTTCTATATAGATACACAGAATTTTAATTGATTATACACAGTACTATATTAAATGATGAAAGACTGTGTGGTAGGACATTCAATATGGCGACTTTGTGGTACTCGTATGTGATTTAAAGGGATGAAAAATCGCAAAAAAAAGGACTGGCTATATCTATAGCAATTCTGGACACGATGTTAGAGTATATTGAAATGTATGAAAACATAACTGTATAATAACTATAAGAAAATTGTGATTCCATCTTACCATATTTGAGAACTAAAGAAAATGCTCTGTTTGTCGATTATATTTTCTGTTTTCAAATAAATAGGCTTTTACAAATATCTACACATTTGGAAAATAACATCAATTATATGCTTTAAGCAATAAATAATATTATAAGTTTAAAGCAATCGATTTTATCAATTCAGTAAGTTGTTACAATAATTTAATATTCTCAAATAAATGTTGGATCTAAAAACACATTAACTTGATTATTGTAAATTAGTTATAGTACACAATTCGGAACGCCCCGCCTCAGCACCTATTACCAATATTCCAAGTATGACGGAACTCGCCGAACAGTTGTATCAATGTTGAATGTTTTTAAATAATTTGAATAATTAAACATGTCTCGTAACGTACGGAAATTCACAGAATTATGATATTACTAAAATGTTACAATGCATTTTAAGAGAACATTTGTCTTTGGCAGTGTACACATCTTATGTAATATGTAGACTAAAGCCAGTGTTCAGCAGTGAAACATTATTTGATTTTACATGCAAAAAAAAAAACCCAAATGTTTCGAGTTTTACAAAGAAATATTGTTCTTAAAAGTCCTGAATAGTATCATGTTGATTGCCTTGTAAAATCAAGAAAATGTTGCACGTGTTACATTTTAAATATGTTTGTGCTCCTATAAAATGCGGTGTTATTTAGCAGGTTCACACGATAGGAATGATATCTTAATATGAAATCAAGGTTGAAGTCTGTTGTAAGCATATATTAACCAGGATATCCTGGTAGTTTTTGCTTTTTCCGAGAAACTTGGCAGAAATTTTGATATAATTATTGCGAGACTGTAAATCCTGTGATTTCTGCATTGAATTGTATTTACGGTTATTTTTATTCCAACAATACAATGTATATATATATAAATAATTCTACATGATACTTAAACAATTATGTAAATTTATATAGAGGACCATCTTAGGATCATTTAAGTAAGTTTCTGTAAAATTTACCACTTGGTTTAGGAAAAGACATGTTGTGTTTCAAGTAATTGCGGATAACGGCTTTCGATCCTTTGTGAGATTGTATGGAAATCAATGACTACTGCTTGGTACTTTAAGAATGGTAACGGTAAAATTAACGAAAAGTTTTCAGAAATATAAGTATCTAAGGCATAACTAATGAAACAAATTACATTAAAAGATAAAATGCTTTTGGAATTTATTCCCAATTATCGTCTTAGCCCTGTCTTCCGGTTACCATTTGATACATCATTATCTTGTAAATGCGTTGAAATGTTTGTGCATGTGCCTTATTAATCACTGGTGAACACTTGTGTTTTTTCCGCATCAGGCAATAAATGTTTGGTAAATACTTCTTTTATTAACATTTTAATTATCTAGTTATTGATCTAGTTTCTTAATCCAACAATGGACTACAAACAACATTGTTAAGGAACTTAAAGCATTGGTACCATATTTATGTTAGTTTATACAGAGTTTGTATCATAGTTTCCATTTAATTGTGCCAGAGTTAAATCGTATACCATAAATAGACAGTTCAGGTATTAGTTACCTGCACAGTCTGTCGGGAATAATGCTCGTTGATTAGTTATATTTTTCTTCTGGGTTATACTTATTATGACGTCAGGAAAATGGGTAATGATAGAAAAAAGTCATATTCAGATGCTCATACATTTATTCTAGCGTTCCGTATCGTGACGACAGGGAAAGTGTTTATTATTTATTTTTGCCTATGAATTACATAAGTGACAGAACATAAAAACCAATGAGGTCTTCCCCAATCAGTAAAGCTGAGAGGTCGCCGTAAGACCTATACTGTGTTGGTGCGACGTAAAATCCAAAGTTCCATATAAGCTTTTGGAAACACGTATCTGTTCCTCGAACCAATCGATCAGTACTAAGCAACAAGAGTGAAGTTTCTTGCTCAACGAAACAACGGCTAGCGTCCGTACGTTTTACTAGCGTACTTACGCTTAATATTTGCGTATGTTTTAACTTACATCCGATTTGCTTACGTAAATGCGTTTTACTAAAAAATTGCGTACATAAAAATTTCGTTAATAATGACAGAGAAAGAAAGTGAGAATTTTAGAGACAGAAGTGACTAGTTATATATCTACGGTGAAAGAGGCTCTAGAAAAGTAAAGTTTAAGTAAAGAAAGGATAATGTGGCTTTACAGGCTTATTGACACTGAGTAAAAAACAAATACGAATATAAAAGTCATCCTATCAGCTTAAAGGCGAAACTATTTTACTATATTGTTCTTTAAAAATATAAAGGTGCCCCATACCCCCTTAGTCAAGGTTAAACTCGACACAAAGTATTTTAATCAGTTATTAAGTGCTTAATAGTCTAAATTCACAAGTTTTTGATACTTAATAATGTAGATCTATTAAATTTTTTATAAATGACATATATTCAGTAAGTCTTATTTGTTTGATTATAAATGGGAGAGTATCTAATTGTCACTATATTTCGTGATAAAATGGTAACGTCGCGACTATTTTTTTAAAAACTGTGTTTTCAGTGAAATAAAAGGATGCTGAACTAATGTATGATTTGTAAATGTACATAAAATTATCTGTTGCAGTTTTTTTATTGAAAATATTCAGATATTACTTCGACAAAATACTTAATAGTGACACTGCGATGATGACTAAAAACTTTAATATCTTGTTTGCATGTACATGTAGTGTTCTAACGCGTAGCTGCTGAACGTTTATCGTCATTTTCTTTATGCATGTTTTAGTGTAAAATCTGCATGGAACAGTTACGAACTATTTTAACGTAAGTTTAAGAAAAAAAACTTACAAACGTTTTGTGAAAAACACTTACGATTTACGTAAGTCTCAGGTCGGCCTTTGTTGGAATTGGAAATGTGTTTTTCATTATCGCGGAAAAGAATAACTGTGCAAATGTATCTTCCATACGTTACTGTACACCTTACACTAATTTCTAATGGAAGTACGAGTAGAAACACATGTTTTATCAAATCTTACGTTTTGTTTTCACATTTTCCTTGTAAACTAAATGCCTGAATATTTCGCGCTCTGAAACCGATGGAATGGACATAACTTATACAGACGGTGCGTTATAAAGACGTAAAAGGTTTCTTTACCAAACATTTATAAAATTAAGATTATATAAATAAAACGAACTTATTTCAGAACTGACAATGTTGATTTATCAAGGTTTACTGTGTTATCTTTACTTGAATTCAATATACGGATTGACACTTTATCAAATTAATGACAGACTGAGTTACATTGAAGATAGAATAAATGCAGAAAGCAAGTTTAGGAGAGATGATTTCGGTTCATTGTATCATGAGATTTCTTCCATAAAAGAAATGCTTCAACAAGTTTTGGAGAGTAACAGTGATGGGAAAGAAACTAAACATACTGATGAAGTAAAAGAACACACTAGTAAAGAATTAGAAGAAAAGATTCATCGACTGAGTATTGGTTTTAAAGAGGAGAAAATGACAAATAGTCGAATAAGACGAAAAACACACGAATTACAACGACAAGTTACCGATCTAAGAACCCTTACAGACAAAAGCTCTAAAATCCTTGCAGACAATTAAAAAGGAATAGAACATCTTACAAAGAAAACTGGAGAATATCAAAATGATAGCAAACAGTTACAAAGTGCTTTGACCAAAATTGGGATTTGTTCTGTAAACTTTACTGAACAATATGAAAACAAACAGAATATTCAAGAAGAAAAACTTGACAAACTTAAGGCAATTACTGAAATGATACAGGAAAGCACAGAACAACTGAAGCAAGAACAAGAAAAGAGTTTTGATGATATTTACAATGCGACCAAGAGATTAGAAGAAAAAATTGATGGCATAGAAAACATTGTCAGTAAGGCGACTTCGTGTCTGGACCTGTATAACAACGGATTTAAATCAAGCGGTATATATCAGATATATATTATTAAACAAGAAAAACTGCTGTCTGTCTACTGTGACATGGATACTGACGATGGAGGTTGGACAGTCTTCCAACGACGTCAAGATGGAAGTGTGGACTTCTATCGAGACTGGGAAGACTATAAGACTGGATTTGGTGATTTGAATGGTGAGTTTTGGCTTGGGAACAACTACTTAAATCTACTGACCGATGATGATAGACAGCACGAGCTTAGAATTGATCTAGAAGACTTTGATGGAAATCGTGCATATGCAAAGTATAGAAGCTTTAAAATTCTGCCGGAAAAAATGAAGTACATACTCGAAGTTGGTAATTACAATGGAAATGCCGGAGATTCTCTTGAAGCATCAAACAATAAGGGACATATACATGATGGAATGGAATTCAGCACCAAAGATAATGATAATGACAACTTAAGCGGACATTGTGCTTCTATGTATAAGGGCGCCTGGTGGTTCAATTATTGTTTTGCCTCGCACTTAAATGGTTTGTATTCTCAAAAGGCAACTTGTACCGAAGAATGGAATTGCATCATTTGGAATTCATGGAAAGGTTCACAAACATCCATTAAGTTCACTGAAATGAAACTCAGGTAAAGTTGTTTCTGAGATAAGTGAAATAACATTAGCGAATGATGTTTATACTGAACGGATAATTTTAAATGAATTCAAAGTATTCCGAAAAGGAAAGTTTAAATTGGTTTTGAATTATTGGAGTTTTCTATTGTGTTGTCATTATAATTGTTTGTTTAAATGTTTTATATATATTAACAATATCACATTTTACTTTTCCGTAATAGTAATGTTGCATTATGGAGGCGAGGACTTTTATAATAATAATTCGCATAAGTATGAAATCTATTATGGCGTCAGTGTCTGTGATTAAATTTAAAGTGAAATTATGCCCACTTTTTTTTTGTGAAGTTGAGCTGAATTTAATATTTAAAGATTGACTGTTATTATCGTGATTAACCAACAGTTAAATTGGAATATAATTAGGATAAAATCTGCCTAAAATATAAAGACTGTCCCACTCTTTTTATAAATTGAACAGATAAATTCCGATGGCTATTTAAATTACAGAAACTTCTTTGGGCCATGTGATTTATTTATTATTCATGCGTAGTAAATTTCAAAATTGAATGGAATTATGATAAAAATGTAAACTTATTTTGACTTTTCCCTTTTCAATCACTATATGCCCTTAGATGGCTCTAGTGTCATATATTAAACATGACTGAAAACAGATGTTTTATTATGTACAAATTTATGGACCTATATTCTTTAAACATGACTGAAAACGGATGTTTTATTATGTACATATATGTAAAAATATAAAAAGATAATTCTGATATTTCTAAACTTTTTGCTTCATCTTTGAGAATTCAAATTCAAAAGCGCCCAATTTTGATGTAATCAACATTTTCAGTTCTCAATATACACAAGCAAATACCAATAATTTTACTTTGTGGAAAAACTAAAACACAAATTTTATGTTTAAGCAAAAATTTGAAGTTAAACATTCATTTATCCAAACCCAATAAGATATGTTAGAATAATTTTATATTCACAAATAAATCTTGGACTATAATTAGTTTGTTATTTGTTATTGTAATAATACCCTTTTTAATTAGAACATCCCGCCAGTCCATAAAATGTGAAGTATGACGGAAATGGCCGAAGAGTTACGGGTGATGGTGTACTATAGAACTATTAACAACATGTACACTGTCGGATTTAAATTTCATCAGAAGTTGCAATTTTGTGCTATAAAACAAAAGTAACAAGCAGTTATCATAGTTTTGCAAGCAATCCATAAGTCTCCTACCGGTTAGAACCCCGACAACATTTTGAATGGCCATTTGTCATTCAATTATGCCAATGAATGAATGAATGAATGAATGAATGAATGAATGAACTTCTTTTGAGTTCTTAGTTTGTATATAACATAGAAATGTGTTAAGTGTCCCTGCATAGTAAGGAAATTATGTTTCTACAACAGATAATCAAAAAATAAAATTTTCTTAGGATGAATATGTATAACTTATGTTTCATCTTTTCTCTAGTTTAAGTAAATTTGTTGGAAAAGTTCCAAGTTCTTTAAAAATGATCTCAGAAAACAGTTTTTAGGAAAGGAAAGACAGACAGACTATGAAGGTAAATCTTTATACATCCCTGGTTGTTTCCAAAATATAACATTTTTAAAAGCAAAATTATTAAAGAGGAGATAACACTTGAAATAAAGATGCTAAACTTATGAACATTGTCATACATCATGTGAGTGTAACAAGGAACAATTGTCTAAAGTTTAAAGAAGATTCCCTTTATATTAACAAAGAAGAAAATAAAAATAAAATTTGAAAAAAAAAACAAATAAATTTCAAAAAGAAAATACTAGTGGAAACCCGTGACTTATAAATCTAAATCACATATGATGTAGGTGTTGACAATGAATGTATATTTTGAATTTTAAGGAAATCAATGAAGAAATAAGGAATTTAAAGAATGAAAGGAAAATTCAAAGTTCAAGGAGGAGATAATTCTGGAAATATTGATGCTAAATTTATAAACCTTGTCATATTATTATGATGTGGGAGATTTAAGTAAATAAAAAAATAAAATAAAAAAACTAAGTTCAGGGGTGTGGGGGCGGGCATTGTTTTGAAAATAGTCAAGCTAGAGTATTAAACCTTCTCACGAAGAAACGTATAAATGAAGTTTGTAGTAGATACTAGTCCATTAAGAAATAAAGAAGTTATGAAAATAAAAAACAACATTTTTTTCATGAAAATTCTAAGTTTTAGGGAGGTAATTTTGACAATTTTAATGCTAGTGTTGTAAACCGTGTCACATATGATGTGGTTGATGACCAGAAACATATATTTGAAGTTTGAAGTAAATAAAGAACTTATAGTGAAAAAGCGTTATATCTAGACGAGGTCGCAGCTCTTAATACTGCCATCTATCAAATTTTAAGTTTACTTTTACTTGTTACTTTTTTAAATATAGAAAGAAAAGAAAAAGACGTGTGCATCATCGCCTGACTGACATCTACACACATATCAAGTTTCACAAAAAATATTTTCAGTCCTTTTGCTTATCACTGGATCCAGTTTATGTGTTAAAATGTCATATTTTCAGTTGATTTGTTGACGAAGCAATCAAAGTGTTCAACATACGAAGAGAAGAAAATGACGTGCATAATAACCAGACTGCCATCTTTCCACATATCAAGTTTAATGAAAAAAATCAGTACTTTTTGCGTCATCACGGCATCTTGATTTGTGGACGGACGGACGGACACACGGACGGTAAACTTAAGTCTCCTCCTGTTAAACCGGTAGAGTACTAACAGGGTGTTTAATTTTAAAAGTGCAATACCCGCACCTGTAAGACTCAAATTGCATATACATTGGGAAGCACAATTTTTGTTTTCAAGGGCTTGTAATCTACAAACAAAATCACAGAAATACGGATGAGGAGGCAAAATAGTGTGTGTTAAAATCTGACAGCCTTTGTTCACGAGAAAATGACTGTATCTTACAAGCAAAACAATATTTTGAGTTCCATACAAAACACACTTCGTTCTGTAAAATCGTCAATAATTTTATATTTAACCATGTAAATCATTTCGGACTGTACAATCTTGCTGCGATGTAAAAAGAAAATAGTGTTACATATGTTACATTTTTATTGTTGACTTTCAACATCAAAAGATTTACTTATCACGTGACGCGCTTAAATGTATATCAATGTATGTTGATTAAATGATGAAAAAAGTCAAGTTAGGAGCCTGTGAGGTGAAATCTGTTGTAAATACATTAACCACATTTTCTCGTAGGTTTTGTTTATTCAGGGAAACTTGGCAGAGATTCTAATGTAATTATGACAGGACTGTAAAATCAAACGTTTTGCATTGAATAATATTTAGAGTTGAATTATTTTCATGATTGTCCAAGTTATAAAAACACCAATCATTACTAATTCTAACTTCTGAGGGGTGTGATTTAAGCAATATTATTGTGTTCCTTGCTCGTACATCAGATTGAAACCATTTGTAGAGAGCCATCTTATCCTGTAAAGTTTTGTAAAAATCTACCTTGTGCTTTAGGAAAGTATGTTGCTTAAAGAAATTGTGGATAAAAACATACGACGGACATTAGTGGTCACAAAAGAACTTTATAGAGCACATGCAAATGCTCAAGAATAAAGCTAATCTACACATAACAATGGCTCCTGGCTGAGTAAGTAAGTTAAGAGTAAAAGTTAATATGAATATGTAATCTGTCATGTTTTGTAGAAACGGCAGATAACAATTATCTTCAAAACGTGTTTTGCTATATGTCGTATTTAATTGGAAAAGAAAACCAAAAAAAAGGAGAAATTTTATTATGACATTTCAGTCATGACTATAAGTAATAAATAGTTATCACTTCCATGGACCTTTTTCGTATGTATTGAAATGTTTATCGTAAGGCACATAAAATAATCATGACAATAACATTTCCAATCACGAAATATAAATTGTGAAAAAATAATCTATTTTACGTTATTACAACCTCATCTTAACTTCTTCAAGAAACAGAAACGTCTGTTTTATAAAGATCTTAACAAATCTTAGGTAAATTAAACGCTCGGATATCTGGCGCAAAAATATGAGAGACATGAGAGTTTATGTGTAACTGTTCTTTCACTGGCAATTTTTAAGTAACGAATAAATAAAAAGATACTTCTCTTTCAGAATAAAACGATTTTAATTTATGTAAGCTTACTGATTTTCCTTCACGTGTATTCCATTCATGGATTGGCACTTAATGAATTTAATGATAGACTGAGTTTGTTTGTTTGTTTTGGGTTTTACGTCACATCGACACAGTACAGGTCATATCGCGACGTTCCAGCTTTACTGGTGGAGGAAGACCCCAGGTGCCCTTCCGTGCATTATTTCAGGCACGAACGGGAACCTGAGTAGAATCACCGACGTTCCGTAAGCTAGCTGGATAGCTTCCTCACATGAAAGAATCCAAAGTCCATGTCGGGATTCGAACCCACAGCGGTGAGAGGCAAGTGGTTTGAAGTCAACGACCTTAACCACTCGGCCACGGACGCCCCGATAGACTGAGTTACATTGAAGATAGAATAAATGCAGAAAGAAAGTTTAGGAGAGATGATTTTGGTTCATTGTATCATGAGATTTCTTCCATAAAAGAAATGCTTAATCAATTATTGCAGAGTAACAGTAAACGAAAAATACCAAAACACACCAGTCAGGTAAACAAAGACATCAGTAAAAAGTTTTAAAAGAAAAAACTCGTCGGCTGAGTCTTGGTTTAAAAAAAGAAGAAACGATAAAAAGTCGAATTAAGCGACAGACTAAAGAATTAAAACATCAAAACTCTGCTCTAAGAATCATAAGAGACAGAACGGCAGATAAACTGCAAGATTTGCTAAATAATGTCGGACGAATAGGGAACCAAAGTAAAAAGCAGCAGAACCACTTGTATCTTCTACGAGGAGAAATATCTGATATTAAAGTAAATGTACAAAATTTAACTGACACTTTAGCCCAAACAACGAAACAGGACGTACATAGCTTTGACGAATTGCAAAAATACGCAGAAAATATTAAAGAAGACACGGAGTTCCTAAAAATAGCACACAAAGCGAGTTTAGTAAATGGTAACACGAGTATAAATGTGGCAGATGTGACAGCAGTGGGATCATATATAAAAGAAAATATAAAGTCTGACGAGGAACAGCAATTATGCAACTGTTAGATCTCTTCGACATGTTTACAACAAAGCTCACCCTCCCCTAGACACACAAAAGTCCTGTACAAATCTTGATTTGATCTGTACAGTAATGGAGTAAAAGTCAAATGGTCTGAAAAACCGCTGTCTGTGTACTGTGACATGGATACTGACGATGGAGGATGGACAGTCTTCCAACGACGTCAAGATGGAAGTGTGGACTTCTTTCGAGACTGGGAAGAATATAAGACTGGATTTGGTGATTTGAATGGCGAGTTTTGGCTTGGGAACAAATACTTAAATCTACTGACTAATGATGATAAACAACACGAGCTAAGAATTGATATGGAGGACTTCAATGGAAATCAAGCCTAGCTATGCTAAGTACAGCTGTCCCAAGATCCACCGAGAGATAAAGTACTACAGGATGGAAATTTGTAATTATACAGGAGATACTGGTGATTCTCTTGGATGTGTTTTTGATAATAATAAAATGAGATTTAGCACCAGCGATAAGGATGACAACTCAGATTGTGCATACAGATCAGAAGGTGGTTGGTGGTTTGCTTAAAGTTCCTTGATGTATAATAAAGGTGTTTTCTTTTTCTCGAAATGACATTAAAATTACATTGTATCATGTCATCGCAAGAAAGGCCCAAGTTACAATATATTGGCTCCCATGCAAAGTACAGTGATCAGAGCCAGCAGCAGGTGCTTGTTATAGCAAGACATGGTACATATTTAATTGTATACACATGTATAGGCTCACAAGACATGGTACAATGACTTTGATTATCCATTGTGTAAAATGAGTCTAAAATATTTAACGAAAGTTATGCACAGACGTAAAAAAGCGTGAAATTCAGCCTAAAACGTAAGGTACTACAGTGTATATACATGTAAATAAATACATCCAAAATAAGGGCTCTCTAGTCACAAGATATCATTATGAATGGAAATACTATTGATACACTTGGTAAAGCGTTGACTGGTGCGAATAATTTCCTCATATATAGAGTGGACTAATCATGACATGTTTAAAGAAGCTAAATTGAATTCTAGTGGTTCTTTAATTGCTTTGAACAACATTGATACATGGTAAATAATGATTAGTTACATGTAGTTATAATTTCAATAAATGTCACTGCATCCAAAACTAAGATTACATCTGCATGATTGTGTTAAAGTTTTAGCCATTTTTTTCATGATGACTTCCGTAAAATATGGGCCTTTCGCTACTACTTTTCTAGTATTTATCGGACAGTTCAAAACATACCCAATAACAATACAGATATCTTCATAACATATATGCCAGTGATAACATACATGTAATTATCTCACCACACTTTAAATATCTTCACATATGCATTAATAACATTTTTAAAACAAGAACTGTCAATGAAAACATAAAAATGCCCCACATGCCACCCCAATCACTGGGCCCAGTAGAAGAACCATGACCTTTGACTGTCTTAAAATGCACGGTGATCTTAGAAGACAAGGAGAAGATTCATTCTAACTGCGTTTAAACTACACTTCCCATCCAACTTGGTTTGAAATTTGAAATTTAAATAAGAGCCTGAGAAGCTCCGGTAATAATAAATACCTTCAGTTGTTGTGGATATAGAAAAGAAAATATGAAATGAAATTTATTGAATTATGAATATTGGACTAGTGTAAATAATGCTGAGAAGTCGGGAAAAAACAGGTTGATTCGTAAAATTCAGTGACTTAATTATTCCCAAACTAAGTATTGTACTCGAATATACGAGATGATAGGGATTTTGTCTGAAAGACCACAGCATCGCATTCACTAGTCAAACTGACCCTAAGCTGAATATCTTGATTGGATTTGTCTGTAAAAAGTTGCCCCGTACTTCACTTCAGTGTTGTTATATTTTTTTCTGATCCTTCGGGATCATTGATGTCAGCATTGTTAAGTGTTGAGAATTGAGTATCGATCAAGCCGAGGCTAGGGGGCGTGAGGGATGTTGCACTTATTCATTATCCCTCATGTATAGAGACTAAATCAAACTGAGTCTGCAATGTTCATGTACTTTTTTGTGATTAATGCTTCCAAAGGATTACTTTGTTTCCAGATTTTTGTCCATCTTTCAATATGTAGTAAACAATTCACATGTTGAATGGAAAATGTGAAAATATCTACGGAATAGTGAACAGTGCAGATCATGATGGCTGAACTTGGTCTGCACTGGTAGCATAAGTATATTCAGTTAATGCCTGTAGGCAAAGTGGATTTAGCATATTATACATTATTAAATAAATCTCTATTATAGAGAAAACTAACATGAGAATTTTAGAGACCACAAAGGTCAGTTTAGCAGTGGTCAGTTTAGCAGTGGCTCAAGGATTCATACTCAATTTGCAGTTGTAAAACAAATTCAATTATACAGTATCTTAAAATGATTTATTACATCCAAAAACAAAAAACATATCAAGGTAATACAAGTTTTACATCAGGTCTATATAATCATGCAAAATGACAATTAATATTTACATTCATCAAACTTTTACAATGAAATGAACTATTATAAAGAATAATAATTCCAGGAAATTAAAGGTACTTTCTGATTCATCAAACCATTTATAAGTGTAATACCATTACTAGTTTTTTTTAACAAAACAACACAAAGGTTTATATTCTAAAAGACTGCTTTAATATAAGCAAAACTGTCAATTAAAAAAAAAAACAGTTGTTTTAAAATGTTTGCAATGTATTTAAAAATTCTGAACAAAACAATGATCTGAACAAAACAGTGGTTTAATTTGTTTATTTATCTCAACAAGAGCGATCAGTGATCACATCTGAACCCTATTGGTGCATGCATGTACATATACTAAACCCTATTGGTGCATGAGTGTACATATACTAAACCCTATTGGTGCATGCATGTACATATACTAAACCGTATTGGTGCATGCATGTAAATATATACTAGACCCTATTGGTTCATGCATGTACATATACTAAACCCTATTGGTGCAAGCATGTGCATTTATTAAACCCTATTGGTGCATGCATGTACATATACTAAACCCTATTGATGCATGCATGTACATATACTAAACCCTATTGGTGCATGCATGTAAATATATACTAGACCCTATTGGTTCATGCATGTACATATACTAAACCCCTATTGATGCATGCATGTACATATACTAAACCCTATTGGTCCGTGCATGTACATATACTAAACCCTATTGGTGCATGCATGTACATATACTAAACCCTATTGGTGCATGCATGTAAAGATATACTAAACCCTATTGGTGCATGCATGTAAAGATATACTAAACCCTATTGGTGCATGCATGTACATATACTAAACCCTATTGGTGCATGCATGTAAATATATACTAAACCCTATTGGTGCATGCATGTAAATATATACTAAACCCTATTGGTTCATGCATGTAAATATACTAAACCCTATTGGATCATGCATGTTAATATATACTAAACCCTAAAAATGTAAAATGGTATTGGAACATGCATGTACAGATGTCATCATTCCTAATACCATTTTCCTTGGAAAATGGATGTAAATTGTACATAAGAGAACAGAAAATACTTGTACATGTTGTTTATGACACTTATTTTATGCTGTGTAATCTTCTGCCAAACATTTCATGTCTATTGTTGTTCTCATCTAACATCATTTGGTATATATGTCCACCATATTTCACATTTAACAATCACTTGGTATATATGTGCACCATTTTTTACATTTTATCATCACTTGGTATATAAGTCCACCATATTTCACATTTTACAATCACTTGGTATATATGTAAACAATATTTGTCACTTTACCATCACTATGACAACCATATATACCAATTCATTAGCACTTGGTATAATAGGTCTACCATATTATATACCATCACTTGGTATATATGTGTCCACAATAGTTGTCATTTGATCATTACTTTGTATATATGTCCATCATTCAAACAAATTTAACATCACTTCTTGTATGTGTACACTAAAGATATCAAAATTTACCGTCATTTGGTATATATAAATGCCCAGAATCACTTTACCATACTTTGGCATATATGTCCGCCTTAGTCACTTGCCTTTTCTATCCAATGTAGTAACAAAACAAGTTCTACCGAACATTTTGTCTATGACATTGTTCCTAACTTTGTCATGTCTAATTGCATTCATTTACATGATATAGTACATTCATTTAAAAAAAGAAAACATGATATATTCATTTCTAATATCAATAAACCATCTCTTGGTATCTTAATCAAGGTACAGACTTTGTTAAACTTTCCAATTTTATATTAAGTATAATATTAGAATGTTTAACAAAGACTGTGATTTTCACATGTAATCACTATAACCTAGTGAATGCCATATTAAACAAAAGCACTGCTAGGCGGAGAATTATATGCCCGAAAGTGTTTTTTTAAGTAAGGATGAAGCATTTGTAACACATGAGAATAAGCTGTTCATCCTTTAAAATTTTACAGATGTAGGTTGATTAATACTTAAATTATTAATAATGACCTTAACCTTTGACCTTGTGACCCCAAAATCAATAGGGGTCTTCTACCTTATATGGACAATCATCCTAAGAAGTTTAAATATTGTGGGCCAAATGGAACTTTAGATATGCTCCGGAAACTGTTTTCAATTTTAAGGTAATAGTGAATCATCCTATGAAGTTTGAATAAAGTTGGCCAAATAGAACCTATGTTATGCTCCAGAAACTGTTTTCAGTATTAAGGTTATTGTGACCTTGACCTTTGACCTAGTGACCCCAAAATCAATAGGGGTCTTTTGCCCAATATGGAAAATCATCCAATGAAGTTTGAATATTGTGGGCCAAATGGAACTTAAGTTATGCTTCGGAAATTTTTTTCAGTTTCAAGGTAATAGTGACCTTGACCTTTGACCATGTGACCCCAAAATCAATAGGGGTCTTCTACCCAATATGGACAATCATCCTATGAAGTTTGAATATTGTGGGCCAAATGGAACTTAAGTTATGCTCCGGAAACTGTTTTCAGTATCAAGGTGATAGTGACCTTGACCGTTGACCTTGTGACCCCAAGATCAATAGGGGTCTTCTACCCAATATGGACAATCATCCTATGAAGTTTGAACATTGTGGGTCAAATGTAACTTAAGTTATGCTCCGGAAACTGTTTTCAGTATCAAGGTGATAGTGACCTTGACCTTTGACCTTGTGACCCCAAAATCAATAGGGGTCTTTTACACAATATGGACAATCATCCTATGAAGTTTGAACATTGTGGGTCAAATGTAACTTAAGTTATGCTCCGGAAACTGTTTTCAGTATCAAGGTAATAGTGACCTTGACCTTTGACCTAGTGAC